CTTCGATTGGGGCGGCGCTGCTCTGGCCACCCTCTATGGGTACATGAGCTCGGCTTCTCGCGGCAGCGGCCAGCTCCTTGGAGGCTACTGGCGGGCTTGGGAGGTACATTTCTTCTCCGCTTTTTTTTTTCATTTCTGTCTCGTGCTTTCTGTACTCTGTACACTGCACACACTGTGGTCCGCTCTATACTTGCTGTATACTGTACACACGGCACACACATACATTCTGCTTTTTCTGATAGTCATACTGACATCTGTTTTGCAGCTGTGGGTTTACGCCTACTTCCCTAGGCTTGTACCCGTACCAGTCGCGGAGCCTCCTCCGGTTGTCCCGTTCTCGAGTCGCTTCGACGGGAGATGCACCCAGCGACCACGGGAGACATTCGGATTCTTCCGTCGATATTTTGACACCATCACCCCGGCCGAGGTATGTTTTATTTACAGTTTATTTAGCTTCGCTTTCCCACTGCATATTTCAATAACAGTAGATAACAAACTGTCTGTCACTTTCAGATCACATGGCGGCCATGGGCTTCCTTGCCGTCGGTGATGCGGGGCCGATTCCCTGGTGCTGAGGAGACCTCGCGTTTCCGAATTTTGCTTGAGGGCCCGGTCTGTCGGGCTTGGTACCTGGGGGAGCGTTTTCTACGCCAGACCCGCGGGTTACCTGAGCAGATAGTTCCGGTTCACCCACCTGCAAACATGAGGGAGACCGAGGGGCTCACCACTGAGCAGCTGGATGATTACTCCATCGGCTGGGAGGAGGCCGGCTTCCGAGGCACCGGCGACTATCAGGAGTACGTGCGGACGTACCTGATGCGTCCCTTGAGTGGCCGTCGAGCAGAGGGGGCCAGGCCTGTAGCATCGGCGGCTGGGGTCGGAGCGGGAGCAGGGACTGGATCTTCGAGGAGGGCCCGGGTCCGTGGTAGGAGCGGAGTGCAGGGAGGACGAGGAGCTGGCTGGCCTGCCCTGCCTGCTGTACTGACTTTCCAGGGGCAGGGTGGGTCGACCTATCAGATCCCCTTCGCCCCTCCACCCGCTGGTCATGAGTTCATTGACGTCCCCGACTTACCGCCGGTATGTTCTACTGCATTTTGTACAGTTATTACACACGGCACGCACTATATTTCACTGCATACACACTGGCACCCAGTATTTATCTGAATCTGTTAGATTTGCACACAATGCTATATCTGTTCTGAAACACCCAAACACGCTGACACAGCACACGTATTTCACTGCAAGCACACCGGCACCCGGTA